TGGGGGAGCCTGGAGTAATATAGACTGAAACTCACTCCATTGAGTTTCGAACTCGAGACCTCCCATAAGGGAGAGTGAGTCAATGACCAGCTGGGCTGGACCGCTTCCTCATTTACCAATCATGTAATTACATATAAAATTAAAATAAAAGATAATTATTCATAATGATAATCAAACAATGATAGTATATTAAGTTATTAATACTTAGTAGCATTTAAATCACTCTTATAATATTTGAAAGTGTACTTTAAATGCTATAAAAATTAATAATGTTATTTGTTATTTTGCTCGTACATTCGTGGTCTATCTGATATGATTTTCATTCTTAAATAAATATACAAATGTCACGGATTTTTCTTTTTTATGATATTAGTATATGTGCTATCATGATCAGACCAAATTGTACGGTTCGACTTTAAACTCGACCCTAGAGACGGTTCAGTAGAGTGCAAACCAACTAACGTGCGTAACAGGTGGGATGTTTTACCCTAAACACGCTGGGTTTAGAGAAAATGTCCAAATTTATAGAAACATTATATTTGAATCACCAAACGTTGAATCTCTTCTTTTGTCATTAAAACAATTGTACTACGTACTTTTTTACAATAATGGAACTCCTTGACTTTTCTCTCAATAATATGTTATATTCTTTGTTTCCACTTCTTGTTGTTTTGGCTCTTGTTGTACTCATAAGTTTGTACTAGGAGTTTTTATCTTGGTATCACATGATGAAATATAAAAAAAATGGTAATTGAGTAAATCATGTACGTATGAATGCATACATTTATAAGTAAATTAAAATATTGTTAACACAAACTATAATAGAGACTAGATTATTATTGAATACTAGTATATGATTCATATGAAGTTTTAATTGGGTGACAATGGAATAGAGAGTAGATTATTAGTGAATAATAGTAATGATTTTTTAAATCTAGCAGAGTAATAAGCAGACATTAAACTCTCGGACACCTTTTGAGGATGATCGTACTTTATGTCCTATCTAGTGTTTGTTCAGATTTTTCATCTCAACCCACACTCGATGAACACGCCCCCAGGGAATGTGTCACGCCCCTGACCTCATCAGACACGCTAACAATCGTCGTACAATCTAGATAAGTCGATCACAGTCAAGATTACCCATACTATACAAGACATCATGAATATCTTCACACATAAGACACCTATAAACAAGCATAATGTAAAACAATTCGATACGCATCGGAATCAAAAAGTTTATGCAAAAGCCACACAAGGCAATCATAGGCACACGTGCCTCCAAATAGTTTAAAGTATAAAGATGTCCGTGAGCAAGTTTATTATAGTTTGCAAAACAGAATGGAGGAAGCCCAAATCAAGTCTTCTCTCCAAATGATCACCGAGCAACGAGTACAGGAAGCAAACCCTAGCCCTCAACCTGAAATTGTGGTGGGATGCCCCCGAAGGGGTAAATACTTTCATGTAACTATAATGTACTTGTGATGGGCTTCTAATATATATACAACAAGTATTTCAAACACAAGACCCTTAAATAGGGTGATAATATAATCTAGGTCATAACCCTAAGTTACCCCATTTTGAAAATATACGTACTTTATATAAAGTCAAATAGTCGGCCTGTGGGCCCATGTTCATTTTGAAACAACCTTCCATATTCCCCGTGACTACTAGTCACGACAACCATAAAGCTCGACTCTAGTACATCACCATGCAAATCATAGAACTCGACTCCAATATTTCACCATGCATTTCTAGACTCTGGACTCTATTACATCATCATGCAATCATAGAGCTCGGATCTAGCTCATCATCATACAAATCATAGAACTCAATCTACTATCTCACCATGGACTCTTAAAGCTCGGCTCTATTACATCACCATGCAATTTATAGCCCAATTCCTAAGCAAGTACTATGCCTAGAATTGATATATCAATAAATCACATTGGGTCATCCTTAAGGTTTGCCCATGGCTTGATCTTAGCTTCAAACTATATCAATGTAAACACGTGAAGTATATCCAAGTGCAATACATACAATCCAAACTTTAGGATCAATTACAACAATCATTAACTAGTATTCTCAATACTATTAAGATTATTCTTATTTAACCAAATATTCATATATGTGAGTCCTAACATATTTAGAGATATGTCACATCTACTTCAATGTTCAATTTCAATATATAAATATTCATTTATATACCCATCCAATCCATACATGAGTTAGAAATGCCTATTTTAACATAAGAGTCCATTAATAGCTCATTTAACCCTATATTAACAATATAGCCCCATATCATAATCAAATTCATTCCTTACCAATTATATCCATATTTTATCAATATTTAGGCATCATAATCCATGAAAACATAATTTAGACATTTAGATAATCTCATGCTTAATCTACAAGTTGTAAGCAACTAGGTGTCGATTTCTCACCTTAATTATGCTCAAAACTGCCCTCTTCCAATCAAACCCCCACACCTTCAAACAAGGAAGTTTGGAAACTAATTCATTGCTTATAAATGGTAGTTAGAAGACCTCCTCCAAGTATTGGCTCGTCCCTTAACAATAGATGAAAACATCCTCCTAGAAGGTGTTTTCCGACGAGTACAATCACCTACTTTGCAAGGTTCATCCTAGATTAGTATCTAACCCTTAAATCCATAAAAACCCTTCTCAAAAATATATTCTACACTTGTAATCATGTATAATAGTCCGCTCAATTGTTCATATGATTTAGATAATGATAAGAAGGCTTTTAGGTTCGAACTTGCACAAAAGAGGAAAACCAGTTTTGCGAGGTTGAGCCCGTCTTCTCCTATTTGGAGACCATCCTCTACTCCTTTCGTCGCAAGCCGCACATCCCCAGAATACTTGTCTTGAGATCTTTCTTTATACACCTCACACATCTATTTTGAATAAGGGAAGCTCAATGAATGCTAGGAAACAATAACCCATTTGCAACATGTGACGAGCAGTAGAGATGTGTCCCCTCATGTACTCTCTCCTCAATAAACACACCCCTTTCTTTTGTGGACGAAATTCCATGAATAAGTCAACTTATAAGGGTGTGTAATACACTCAAAAGTGCTTGGTTCAGCCCCCTAATGTGTGGTACGAAATTATGAAGGGAATTGCCAAAGGTACCATAGAGTGTGGTCCACAATTTTGGCCTCTTATGCATCATTAGCTTCCTTTATTTGTTTGTCCTCCCTATATGATATACTTGACCAACTTCTATTATTTACATGTGTATAAGTAATCTCCAAGTGGTCCCAATTACTTTGGGATCAAATATCTACTACTACTTCCAAAAATGAAAGATTGAGTCTTATTGCTTTGTATTTTAGTCATGTGATGTCTTTTTGTACCCATTCTAATTTCTTTAGACAAAGTCAACACTTTACATCATATTATTTGTCTCTAATATGTAGGATGGTCCCAATAATTCATATGATGTACAATTATAGGAGAAAAATCTTACTCCCGTAATTCATTCCAGTAATCACAAAAGCGGATCATGGAAGTTTGTATTCTTCTCTAGCCATCTCTTCACTTCATTGTCCGCCCAAACTAATAAATTATGACCTCTCCCTTTATATATTTAGGCTACAAGTCGTGTGGGCTACCCCAAAGTTGGGCCCAAAGTAACATTTGAGCTGCCCCAACCTTCCTTATTTGGTTGGTCTACAAGGGTTGTGGATATTTCTTTATATTGTATTGGGCTATTATATATGACAAGGTGGCCCAATTAAGTATTTGGAAGCCCATTCTTATAATACGGGCCCAAACGATAGTTTGATCAATCATTCACTACATAGAGCATTAAAGCGTTTTACATATGGTTGATAATAGGGAATTCAAAATATCAACTTTGAATTTAAATCATAATTTCAAGTGCGTTCGGGTGCGGTGTCACAATATGTCTTGCAAGTTTAGGGTCATTGTTAACCTCAATTATAAATAGAACTTCATCACAAGTGCCTCTTCATTCTTATGATTCTATTAATCTGAATTAGATTTGATTAGCTTAGGTTAATTTTCGTTGCAATGTGAATTTTATTGTGAATTTTATTGGGAACGGTTTTTCATAAGCTACGCGGTGTCAATTATTTTTTAGGTATGATATGATTGCTAGGTAGGTGAAATGATTTGTTGTGTGAGGGGAGGGTGGTGATGATGAACGCCGATAATATCACGAGTTACATGTTGATAAATTGAGGTGTTGGCGCTGAACGATGAGTCTGTGATGATTTGAATTACATGGGCACACTTATGTGTCAAGTAATAAGCAATTTTGCTACGAATGCTTTGCGTGAGAGCGTGAAGGGAGATTATGATCATGAAATACTAGTGACATATTGTTCAAGTTAGGTTCTTTTAATTTGAATAACACTTTTGATTTTGTTGATTTACTTTTCTAATATACATGTTAATTGACTTTTTAGTTAAGTCAAAAAAAGGTGCATGCAAAAACATGCAGGACACAAATATAAAAAGATTGTAAGAAAGTGTGCAAAGTAGAGTTTTTGAAAGGTGAATATTATAGTACTTTACTTTAATGCTATATAGTAAATGAGTATTTTACTTAAAATTCACATCCCATCCAAAGGCTTTACAAACTTCCATTATTTACTCCTTCTAAACTGCTTTACCATTTCCTTCTAAAATAATAACTTGATAATTTATAATACCCGTATTTCTTTGTACTCAACATAAATTTTAACTTACCACACAAAGTTTACTTTATTATATCATGTTCAAGTCAAAAATGGTCAACCTTTATTCATTTCCATGTTTTATTAGTTCATTATTATTAAATTATTAAATTACTTAAATTTAATGCAAGGGTTTAAAATTAAGTCTTAATCATGTTGGGCAAAAATTTAAATTCGCACAGAAAGCTCTTCACAAAAAAGAGTTTACTTGTTTTCTTTTGTTTGTTTTTAGTTAGAAATGAATCTATACTTCTGGTAATTTGATCAACTCCAAATCTCCAATCAAAGTACCACTATTATTTTTTATTTTTTATTTTTTATTTTTTAACCTTGTAGTCAGAACTAAGAATTGATAATTATATCGTCAAACGTTTCAACTTCAATCCAAAAGAGACAAATTCCGAAGAATTCATTGAGTAAGTAATTACAACCCAGACACAAAAGAGACTCCGGTGGGAGGCAGCCACGAGTTGCCGATGATGAACTTTTCCACTGTAAATTTATCGGCTTCCTCTCTCGCCATGGAATGGAAACCGGGCCAACCCACCCTTCCACCCAACCCGGCCCCAGCACCGACATTCGCATATTCCCCAAAATATAGCTTCCCGAGGGAGGAGGACGGAGATCCGGGCCACTCAATCCACCCTCTCTCAGATATTGCTCCGCCCATATCCGATTCAATCACCACCGCCCTCGAGTACTCCCTCCAGGGCCGCCCCAGGTACGCATTCTTCACCGGTGAGAAATCGGACCCTATAGTGATCTTACAGTTCTGAACCGAGAACCCGGTGCTCTGGCCCGGATCTGACCTGCCATTAGCGAGGATGACGTTGTAGGATTGGGAGCCGGCAGGACGGCGGAGGACGAGATTACAGGCTTGAAAAACCGCTGCCGCATTGCCGAAGATGAAGTCAACGGTGCCGGAGATGTCGCACTCTCTGTAGAACTGGCGGAAGGAAAAGGCGTAGAGTGTGTCCTGGTGACCCGAAATGCTGCATCTGTAGAAAACGGAGCGGTCCGAAGCTACCAATAAAGCCACGGCTTGTTGTGCTTCCGCCCCCGCCGTGTTTTCGAATCCAATATCTTTAGCAACGAATCCATCGCCGGTGATTACTGTCGTAATAACAAGAAGAAAAAACTTTATTTTTGAAAGTAAGAAGAAAATAACTTTAATCTTTCGACGAAATTATGAATTTTTTACAAGAATATTACTAAAATAAAACATATTTACATAAATGTCACTATTCATTGTTACAATGTGATGTTGTGGTAATTTAAACTCAAAACATGAACATAAATTACTATTCTAGTCATTAGTCATATTTTTGTAAATCATATCATAGTAATTATTTCAAAAACTATTAGAGCACACTAAATTGAGAAATTATATTACAAATTATACTTTTATGCACATCGGAACGAGTAGTCGTGATTTGTTACCGAAAACTCTTGTGTGTGTAAAGTACCTGATAAAAAAAGGAAAATGAAATTATAATTGAGACGGATCCACAAAGAAAATTTAATAAAAATTGCTCTAAATAGGAGTATCATGTTTTTTATTTCCTGAATAGAAGTAATATGCCAAGTTTAGAAAAAAATGCCATGTTTAAAACCTAGTAATGCCAAACTTAGCGAAAATTTACTCATATTCAAGGAATAAAAACATGATACTCCTATTTTGGAATTTCAAAACTTTTTTACTCCTATTTGGGGAATTCTCTCAAAATTTAAAAGATAATCCAGGGACCGAGGAAGTTTTTGAAAAAGGGGAAATCACAGTATTGATCCTCCAATTAATCACCATATTGAAATTTAAAACCCGTGTTTTTTCTTTTTTAAGAGCCTGTTTGGTAGCATGAAAATCGGCTGATTTGGCTGATCCTGCTGAAATTTATGAAGTTCTGGCTGAAGTGGCTGTATTGGCTGATTCTGCTGATTTAAGAAAAAATATTTTCAAAATATATTTTATTAATAAAATAAAGGAAAAATTATATGTAAAAATAGCTAAAATGATCATCTACAGTAACTTCAGCCAATACAGCCAAAAAAGTAACTCCAACCTTACTTTTTCTGCTTATTACACAATTCAGCGCACAAAAGTAAAAGTTACGTGTTTGGTGAAAAAGTTGGCTGATAAGCCTGATAAGCCGAAAAACGGTGCTGCCAAACGGTCTCTAAATGTCACCTCCGATTTACCAAAAATGTTTTAAATGTCATCCCTGCTCTTAAAGATCTTACAAACTCCATGTGGCTATCCATTTTTTCAGGGGTAAACATGTAATTTTGCATCCTTATTCGTTTAAGTCCCTAAATCGAGTATAAACCAAACTTTCTTTGTATAATTCAAGTGAGGTACACGCCATTTGCTTGGGAAGCTCTCTTCCTTTTATTGTTTCTTCGTCTCCAGGTGTGTAGATATTTTTTCGTTCTTCCCTTCTTCATTCTTCTTTTGTTTATTCAAAAAATGAATCAAATGTCTAAGGTTGAGTAGGTAGTATGACCTTTGTGGTTTGATTAATTTTGCAGGGAAAAAATGTTGAAAAATTATTGGATTTGCCATAGTTGCAGGAGTTCAAAGTATTTCCGGTTTGGTTACTCGATTCAGGTATTTAAACGTATAACGATGCAAAGTTACATGTTTACCACCGAAAAAATGGAATGTCACACGGAGTTTGTAAGATTTTTAACGGCAGAGGTAACATTTAAAACAATTCTGACAAATCGAGGATTACGTTTAGAAAAGCAGAAACATGGGTTTGTGATTTTAATGGTGGCTAATTGGGAAACTAAAATAGCGAGTTTCCTTTTGAAAACCCTATAAACATTTCATAGAGATACTATTTTTTGTTGACAAATATTGAGTTGTGTGCTTAGAAACAACTAGTGTGTGTGTGTGTGACGAACCAACGACCAGGGTCTGTATGAGCAAAATAATTAAAAATCTTGAAATGAATCTAATGATTTGCATATACAACTATTTTCTATAAATAGACATTGGTATGTGTGTGCACAAATGTTAAATGGGAGAATTCACTAAATAGAAGTAAAAAAATTTTGAAATTCTAAAATAGGAGTATCATGTTTTAATTCCTTGAATAGGAGTAAATTTCTGTCAATATTGGCATTACTAGGCTTTAAAATATGGCATTTCTTTCCAAACTTGACAGAATACTTCCATTCAAGGAATAAAAAATATGATACTCCTATTTTGGAATTGTAAAACGTTTTTGATTCTATTTAGAGTGATTTCTAATGTTAAATTGGATGTTCATCTGTTCGCATTAGAACCAACGCTAGGAACTAATATAATGCGTGGGACATTTATAATCGCTTGTAAACCTGATTTTATTTTTAAAAAGCCAAGAGGGATAATAAAAAAAAGATACCGACTAAAAGAGGAAAAGAAAAAACTACAATAAAAAGAAAAGAGACTACGTCGTATTAGTAAAATTACAAGTTACCTTAAAGAAATACGAAGTATGTCAATGACATAAAATTGAGTGTAAGTTTTTTTTAATTTAAGGGCTCAAATATCATGTCTATTGATTTATATAGTAAAATTGTTACTAAAAATTTGATTATCACTCTTATTAAAACATTTAATTAGTTCTCCCAATGCAAGTAGTTCACACGGTCACACAATAATTTGGTCAACTCATTTGGAGAAAAAGGAGGAGAAAAAATCTCTAATTTTTAAGTTATTATAACTTTTTTATTTACTCATTTGGAGAAAATATGGTCTTTCATAACTTTTTATTATACTTATTTATGAAAAAAACTCCAATTTTTAAGTTATTATAACTTTTTTATTATACTTATTTATAAAAAATTCATAACTTTTTATGATCTTTCATATGATACCAAAATAACATATGTAAAAATAAGAGCTGAAGATCCCATTTATGATGATTTTAAAGTCCAAAACTTTTTAAACTAGATTAAAATTATAAAATTAAGATTTCATAATTAATTTTTACATTTTGAAGTTAATTTAAAAAAATCTAAAACACCGAAGTTCTTACTATCTATTGTTCTATATAGTACACACAAACTATGAAATGCTACAAGTGTCTCACTTATTAATTTGGCATAATAAATAGTAACCCTATTTTAATTTTAAAATTATTGCCTAACTCATTACATGATGCAAAAGCTCATATAATATAAAAAATAATGCATACTCTTACATTACAACATATAATTAACTTGTAACATCTACATGATATGGTTAACTATTGATTGGATTGTGCGTTAAATCATATTGTAAATTATATCCAAACAATATTTTAATTATTATATGCATAATCACATTTAGTTTGTATCGTGAATAAAGACATTATGATATCAAAACATAATAACAATATGCATATAATTTATGAACAACGAAAAGAATATCAATAATGTACGTCCATCGTTCCAACGAAACGTGGCCACAACGGGGATATACTGGGATTGCAACATATCTTGTGGCTGCAATATTGTGGTTGCCTTCCGGTAACCGCATCGGGCCGCAATGGAGGTGCGGTTTCAACTCACGGGGAAAATCTACTACGTAACCCAACGAAACCGTAAGGTGACCGCAAAGACGCCATATCGGATAGTATCAAGACATCAAAAGTAATTATTTTTTTATTTCATTCGAACGTAAAATTAAATTACCCCGCAATGGCCGCAATAGCCGCAACCGCAGTCTAATCGCAATGTTACCGCAATAAAAAAACATTGATATAGACTAAAGAGTAAATATGAGATATTTGATGATGGATAATTTAATATATAGTCATTTAAAGTATAAAAATTTATTATTGTATGTGGTTAGATTATAGTAAGAATGCGTTATATTAAACTTTGTGTCCTATGAATGATTCACAAATTGGCGTGCCGCTGCCGGGGCATTGCCCCGGTCTTTACACTAATTGTAGATAATATAAGGTTTTTTATAGTTTTACTTGTAAAGTATTTAAGATTTCGAAGTTTTTTCCCGGAATAATGCTAATTAAATAAATAATTACCAAAATATTGTTGAGTTAAAAATAATTCCCAAAATACTGCTGGGCTAACCATGCTTAAGGAAAGCCGCCACTTGAAGTGGCGGCTCTTCTCTTGCAGTGCAAAAGCCGCCACTCCAAGTGGCAGCTCTTCTCTTACACATTTTGTACATATAAACCGCAGTATGTTTCAAGAATTTATTAAACTGCCTTCCTGATTGAATTTTTAGCTGAAATTTGGTATGAATAAACTATACTTGATGAGGAACATGCTTAAAAAATTTCATCAAAAAATCCATCGTTTGATGAATTTAAAACTTCAGGTCGAGCAGTTCGGACAGGACCCTCCGTCCGAACACCGCCGTTTGGGGAGTTCCCGGTGGAAGTTTTTGATGAATTGTTTTGAACATGTTTCTCATCAAGTCTAGTTTATTTAAAAAAACTCTCATCGCAAAATTCGACCCAGAAGGCAGTCAAATAATTTTTTAAAGTTAACTGCGCCAAATTCTACATAGAAAACGTAGTCATTTTCAAAACATTATTTGACTGTCTTTCAGATCTAATTTTTCAGATCTAATTTTGATATGAAATTATTTGTGAATAAACTAGACTGGATGAGAAACATGCTCAAAAAAATTCATAAAAAACGTCCACCGAGAAGCGCCCCAAACGGCGGCGTTCAGACGGAGGCTCCTGTCCGAACTCCTGGACCTGAAATTTTAAACGCCGCCATTTGGGACGGTTCCTGATGGATTTTTTTGATAAAATATTTTGAGCATGTTGCTCACCAAGTCTAATTTATGCATAACAAATTTCAGATCAAAATTCAATCGGGAAGGCAATTAAACAAATTCTTGAAACATACTGCGTTTTATATATGTACACAATGTTCTGTAAGAGAAGAGCCGCCACTTTAAGTGGCGGCTTTTGTACTGCAAGAGAAGGGCCGCCACTTCAAGTGACGGGTTTTCTTAACCACGGTTAATCCAACGGTATTTTGAGAATTATTTTTAACTCAACAGTATTTTGGGAATTAATTACTTAATTAGCATTATTCTGGGAAAAAACTCAAGATTTCGTATATCAAAACTGGAAACAAACTTGTTTTTTTTTAATTGAAACAAACCTGTTAAAAACAGAAAATGTTAGACCAACATTTTGCATTTTTTCAGTTGATGATTTCGAGCATACGTTCTTTTTTTTATTCTGGCTGATCATACATGGAGTTACTAGTTAGTCAAACTTAACAGTCAAAGCATATTGAAAACGTTTATTAAGTGACCCAAAAGAGTCAAATCATGGACATTAGTACATCAATACTCAAAGCACGATCAGGACACTTATGGATGCCACTCTTCCATTATTTTCTGGCGAAATAGATAAAAATAATCCCTACTTTTAACAATTAAACAAAAATAATCCCTACTTCAAATATTTACACTAATCTCTTACATACATAACTACAAAAGTGAATCGATAGGGCTGAGCGGATATAACTTCAATTCTTCTCCATCTTCTTTTATTTTATTTGAATCTTATCTACCAATGATTGTTTTCATAAAGAAATAGTGGATAAAAGCTCTATGGACAGTTTCAACACTGATATGCTTTATTAATTGGGAATTTTATCAATTCAGGACAAGAAAGATAGATTAATTATCAATTCGGGACCTGAAAGATAAAATGCAGCGATATAAGACCCGAATGATGAAAAACTATCAATTTAAGACCTGAATGATTGAAAACTATTAATCTAGGACCTAAGTTGTCATAATTTTTTTTATATCTCACATATAGCCGTTGATGATAGAGTATTTGTGTGGGGACGAAAGAGAGATGGATTACTCATGGCTTCTCTTGTTACCGAAAGAAGAGAAAAGAGAGAGAACAGACAATGAGTGTAATGGCATTAGTGTAAAAGATAACTCGGTCCTGCTTATTTTATTTTAGTGTAAAAGTTTGAAGTAAGGATTATTTTTGTCTAATTGGTAAAAGTAAGGATTAATCTTGTCAATTTCACCTTATTTTCCCGCCTTTTTCGTTGACGGCTGCTAGGGCCTTTTTTAGTTCTTTCTTTTCTTTATTATTTTCTTTAACATGCTTTAATTTTTTATTCAATTATTATGCAAATGTATAATCTAAAATATGGTTAATGTTTGAGTTTTTTTTTCTTTTTCCAATCAACCTTTAATTTAAGTTTTTTTTTTAATTTCTGCATTATAAAACATTTTAGGTATTAATGTTTTGTTCTTCTATTCTTAATTTTAAGATGAATACTTGTTAGTTTATTAAATATTACGTATGTGCTAATTACTGACATGAGTTTTGTGTTATACTAAAATGAGTATAGTGTAAAATAAATATGCATGAGTAAATATGATAAAAACAACACGATTATATTTGCAATTCAAGAACAAAATACAATAAATAAATTATTTTTAATTTAAAATTACTATAGTTCTCATTGTAAGTTAATTATATTTCAATACTCATTTTGTAAGTTACATATGTTCATCAGATACTGATGTTATGCTCATTTTAAAATATCATACGTAGCATATATTAATGCATATTTCAAAAGTATTATATTAGATTCGCATAAGAGTTAGATTATATACATGGGAGCAGAATTCATGATCCTCAATTACATGTTTCAGATACTCAATATAGAAGGCTTGATGTTCAGTGAAAATGTCTTGATACTAAACTAACAACGTTTATGATTTTCGTATAATTGCTCATAGGGTAAGTTATGTATGCACATTTGGTACTGATGTTATGCTCATATTAAAATGTTATATGAATGCATATTTCAAAAGTAGCATGTTACATTAGATTCAAGTAGGAGTTAATTACAGATACGATAGCACAGAACATGATACTCAATTGTTTGTTTCTAATACTCAATAGAGGGGATTTGATTCTCAATGAAAATGTCTTGATGCTCGCTCAATTTAAAAAACTTATGATTTTCATACTAATGCTCATTTTATAATAATTTATGAATGCTCAATCGGTGCTCAATTGGACGCTTCTAAATACTCAATAGAGAATGTTTAATGCTCAATGAAAAATGTTTTGATGTTCAATTAACAAAGTTTCTTATTTTCATATTAATGCTTATTTTGTAAGCTACATATGCTCAATCGATACTGGTGTTATGCTCATTTTTAAATTATCATATCGATACATATTTCAAAAGTATCATATTACATTACATTTACATATTGAACTTCATAGGAATTGATTGTAGATATAATTTAATAATTAAGTTTCTATAAAAAGGTGAATTAGAAGATATGAAGCAAAGATAATGATGCACATATTAGACTTCTAATACTCAACGAAATAGGTCTAGTGCTGATTAAAAGTTCATTAATGCTCATCATTCCAGATCACGTAATGATCAAATCAGATCACGTATTAATTAAAGTTTTCTAAATTGGTTTAAGAATTTTTTATCTGGTCTATTCAAATCTGGTCTGTTAGATGTCTGGTGTTTATAAAATTTATAATTGTTGAAGACTAATCTGAACAGTTCTAAAAAATGTTTGATTTTTGTGTATTTTATAAACATCGAAGTCTGACTTGATGTGATTCTAATACTCCGTATAATTTAATTGATTTGGGACTGATATTGAACCATACTATGATACCGAGTAATAAGGAAGTTTTTAATTCCGCAATTGTCTAATTAGTCATTAACAACTCTAAATTGCGCCTAGTCAGCTAGTCTAATCTGTATTATCATGTTTTTGTCCGACGTGGGGCGTTGAAGTGATCTAATTTGATCTCTTCAATGTTTGTAATGAATTCAGGATAGAGAGAGCTAACCGAAAGTTGCAGAGCCTTGCAAAGAAGAGCCGCCGCCCACGCTACTATCTCCGGTGATGACGGTAGAATACTTCCCATCTCCGATCAACGTGACGCCGTCTTTACTGATGTGAATGTTTTCCTTGTAAACTCCCGACTTCACGTAAATCACAAACTGTCGGCCCTCAGGGATAGACTGAACGGCCTCTGACACCGTTTTGTAGTTCCCGGTCCCGTCTTTTGCGACGACAACGTCGGCTTTGCTCTTGTCTGACGCCGCTTGCGGCAATTTACTCTGGCGGCCGGATATGCCCCTACCGGAGAATCCGCCGGCGACATGTTCCGTCATGCGGTTGACCAGTGATAATGCGTTACTGGCTAGTTGGGAGTGAAAATTTACGGTGCGGGAAATCCTAGCCAAGAGTTCTTTGGTATTAGATGCAGAAGAAGAAGAAAGAGCGGAAGTGTCGGCGGAGTCCTTGCAAGCAAGTTGGAATGTCACGACGGCGCTCAGCCATGTTTGGATGTCCTGTTTCTGTTTTTCCGGCAACTCTTTTAGCGCCGCCATGGCTTGATTTAGTCGTTTTCGACTCATTTCCATCATTTCATTACAATAACCTACATATGACAAATTAAGCCATTGAGAAATTTCAAAATTAGTGCCTCTTGAATCATTCAATCTGCTGAAATGAAATGAGTGAAATTCTATATTGAATTAAGAAAAAATCACACTTCCTTAAGGTGCGGAAATAGTGTTTAGACTTTTCAAGGACACCCTTTACTTATAACAAAATCTAACCAAAGTGGTTAGAAAGTAAAGTTGTTTCCTTTCTATGATAATTTTTTCAGAACATATATACTATCCTCCGTTCCATAAAAGTTGCAACAATTTGACTTTCACTTTTGTCAACACGCAACTTTGACTGTAATTATATTTATTTATGTATTAGCAAACATTAAAAAAAGTTAATATATTGGAAATTTACATTAATACAAATTTATTAATATTTTATACATAATATTTTTATTATATATATTATTAGAAAATCGTAGTCAAAGTAAGATGTGTGAATAGTGCAGAAATTCCAATGTTGCAACTTTTATGGAACGGAGGAAGTATAAGGAAAGTGAAAACTTCTTTTCGGAATGAAGGTACGTAGTCTTACAAATGTTTTACGGGAAAATTCCCTAAGAGGAGTAAAAAAATTTGAAATCCCAAAATACGACTGTCATATTTTTATTCTCTAAATAAGAGTAATTTCTGCCAAATTTGTCATTTACAGACTTTAAACATGACAATTTCTGCCAAATTTTTTCAAAACTCAACGGATATTACTCTTGTTAAGGGAATAAATATGAAGGTCTTATTTTAAAATTTTAAAACATTTTTACTCCTATTCAGGACTATTCTAATGATTTATATCAATAAAAATAGATAAAGTTATCTAATTAGGATTAAAATAGGGATAAAGTTCACAAATAGGACTTTCATTATTTTGTTTCTAAATTGGGACTCATTCACTTTTAATTTGGGAAGTTTCAATCAATTTTTTTTCTAAGGAATAAATAATCATATTTGGGGGAAGAAAACATATTTGGTTCAATTTTTAATTAATCTTGTGCATCTTTTTTCTGAACAAATTCTAATTAAAATAATGAAAAGTTATATTCATGAAATAGTCATCTTTTGCAAATTCGATCAACCAATTCAATGAAAAAATAATTTCAAACTTTAGATTATAGAAGTTGTTTTAATTCAGAAATAAAATTCATGAAAATTCCAAAAATATGACCAAATATGATTATTTCTCAATATATAACTATACATATCACATACGAAGTATATCCTTTCAAAAAGAAAAACTATACAGATATGGAATGGATAAGAAAAAGAGAACACCCAATGATGCGAAAACATCTCATATGCTATCGGGGCAAAGGACATAGTTGTTGTATTATAGGAAATACATAACATTTACTCATATATGGAATAATTTTCTCTTTTGGTTTTTACTCAATTCAGCTCATAACATTTACTCATATATGGAATAATTTTCTCTTTTGGTTTCTACTCGTGAAATTAAAATTTACATATTAGATATTACTACGTATATGCTATCATATTAGGGGGAAAGGACATAGTTGTATTATGGGAATCACAAAAGATTTTAGTCATATATGGAATAATTCTCTCTTTTGATTTTACTCAATTAGATGCGTGAAATTAAAATTTACATGTAATTATTACGAAATATATGTAATTACTATGATGTACATTATATTTGAACACGATTATAGTTACTAATAATTAATAAACGTTAATTTTAAAGAGTAATATTAGTGAATTTGTTTGTGAATTTTAATTGCTTCTGCCTTTGATTCATCATATGGTAGATTGGTCGTTTCTTATATGAATATGACAGCTTAACCCACCAAAACCCCATTATTTTTAAACAATTAGTCGTACTTTCTAGCTGCGGATAACATATTATATTCTAACTACGTACCACAGTGTGATACTGAGTAATGACTTCTAGTAAGATCTTTACACTTTCCATTTTTAGTAGTATCAGAAAAATCTATACACTTCCTTATTTGTGGCAAATAAATCTACACAAAACAGTGACAAACAGTGCCAAACAATATACTCTACGGTAAACTCAAATTTATTTTCTTAAAAACTGTGAAATAAAGGTGTCAAGATCTTTTGAAAACGGGGAGAGTAATTAATCGGATGTAAAGGATGAATGCTATATATGGTCAATCTAACTTTTAGCTTTTAAGTGTTTAATATTGCAACATTTTAAGTGTTTAAACCGTAACAAACCCATCAACTTTTTTAAATCAAAAGTTGGATTTTTTTTTTAAAAAATTTAGGACTAGTTGGGCCTAAATTAAATAGGTAGTACATTATTTTATGATAATGATCAAAATAGATGGAGACAATTAACTAAAATGAATCACCTATTGCCGGTAGGGTGGGTTTTGGGTGTGAAGAAACAAAGTGGGAGCTGAATTTGTCAAACTCAAAAAAGGGGAGGTTGGCCTGGGAGATCGTCTGGTTGAGAAGCGCAGCCGCCGCAGAATAGACATCTCCGCCGCCGGTCAAACCGGACAAGGAGTCAACGCACAACCTCGGATATCTGGTATTCTCGCACAGGGTGGCAATCTGCGAAACCTTCTTCGCGCAAACACAACCAGTAAAGGTCAAGAAAACTGCTAGGAGCAACCAAGGCTGCCGCGGCCTAGTGCCGGAATAGTCGTCATTCCGTCGTCCCACCATATTATATGCGGTATTTATTTTGTCGGTGGGTTTTTGTGTGGAAAGATAGTGGGAGTGAGTGTGGGTATTTATAAGCTGAGGAGATATCAGATGTGTGTATAAGTTTGGTCAGATGATTATTCCGGAAGGAGCAGAGTGCAGAGGTAAGTACTACGTGGTACGTATGGGCGGGCACGGATCATCGGAGGACGTCTTATCCTATTCCACTCATATTTGACTGAGTATTCTTGACCAAGTATTTGACTCGCCTATTGTGCAATTTTCAGCATTCAATTCTACAGTACTTTCCAATCCTCTCTTCTAATTTGTTCACCCCTTCATGGAAGGAAACATCTCTTCTAATGAGTAGCTTAACTGATAGTGAGGGAGTGTCTTAAAGATTAGCTTCAAATTCGAATCTCGTCAACTGTGATAAGAGGTGACTATGCTAAAAAATGCATAGGATCTCTGCAAGTACCGGAGACAGAGTTCCACTCTCTATTTATCAGATTGTGATTATGCTAAAAAAATGCATAGTACCTCTGCATGTCCTCACAACATACTGTTCGGTCGGGGTTGGGGGCCCTCAGGGATGGGATGTCATCCTTTTTTTGGTAACATCACCCCCTCACTCCAATACATGCCACTTTGACATAACAATTATTCTTTTACAAATTGCAAGTCTAATCCAATATCAACAATTCATAAACCTAATCCGCTATCCGCTGATTAATTACTAAACACACCTTTATCTTTTCATTTGTCGCAATACGCTTGTCTCATACCTGTGATATTTTTATAACTGTAATTCATTCTTACTTTATTCAAACTAATTACCAATTGAATATCAATCATACACTTTTCTTAATAACTCTATAATTCCTTCACATCCCAATCTTAGTGGACATATTAAAAGAATAAAAGGGTAGGAAATCACTATATTTTATTATGTTTAATTTATATTTAGGTATTTTTCTTAAATTTTATCTACAATTTGATCTTTACACATATATAACATAAATTGATCTTTTGTTATTTGTACTCTTACATATACCTTTTAAACTAAATCTAATCAAATAATATTAATAATGTGATTTTTTTTGTGAAATGTGTGACTAAATTGTACTAAATTTGTACACTTTCACCAAATTTTGGATACTCTACTCTCCCGCTCTAGATAAGTCCTTCGAGGCAGAAGGTTAGAATGTATCTGGCGGAAGCTTTTATATTTAATGGTTAATTGTTAAAATAGGACTAAAAGTTGGTCACTTTGCATAAATAGGATAAAAAAGTAAATCATGTTTTGATAGGACTAATTATGTGCGTGACACCGCTCCCAATTTGAGCTTGGATTTATTAATCCATTAATAATAAAATTTAATTGAAAGAACAAATACAAATTTCGATAAGGATGACTAAACGAGTTCATGAATATTTATTCATTTTCAAAACTAGTTACAAAAATATTAATCATATGAGAAATGATTAATTGATTAAATTAATACCGATTAATTATATTGTGTGTCAGACCCTAAATATGGGGAGGGACTAACTAGTATATTCTTGGACCATGGTAAATTAATTAAAAGTCAAAGAATAAGGAAATGAATTACATATGAATGTGTGGGCCGAATAAAAGGTAAAAGATTAATATGAGAGAATATTCGAGCCATTTTCTAATAATAAAAATGTAAAAGGGTTTAAGCCCGGAATATTGGAGAGGGATATCCAATACATTTTAGGATCGACCTATTGAGTTCTACTAGCCTAAAGTAATATAAGTAAACGAATAAAAGTCATTTGGGTCGGAGTAAATAAAAAGGAGCAGCCCGCGAGCCCAACCCAACTAAATCGGCCCAACCTTCTAAAAATAGAAGATAAGGGAAGGAGCCTCCTTATCCTCTCATTTGGGGAGGCTATACGTAAAACATGGAGTGAGGAGAGGCCTTGGAGAGCTTCATACGCACAACAAAAGCTCAGGGAGAAAGGAGGTCAAGAAGAGCAAGAAATCCGATAGAAAGCGAAGCCTAGCGGTAAGAACCTCGTAGCTCCGATTCTTGTTCTTCCTTTTTATATTTTTTCATGTATGATTTTATAGAAATCATATGTAGTGTAGAAAAATGATATAAAACCTAGAGGATGTTCTACACGTTTAAAAGTGTAGAAAAATGATATAAAGTGTCGGTATTTAACTTAGAAGAGTTGTGGAATCGATAGGAATCGAAATCGCCGGAAACCGCCATTGCTAGGAGGCTGTTTCGTGATGCAGGGCCCGAAAGCCGAGCAGCTTTTGCAAAAGCCGGGCGGCTTTTGCCCACTGCCAGCCAATCTTGCTTCGGATCATTCCCGATCGAAGGTTTAACGATGGGGCTTCAATAGGAAGGCTTGCTGCACATATTTAACGTGAGGATGGCTGACTATATTGTTTATAATTCGTGAGTTGAGCATGAGATTACCTAAGTAATCAAAATATGATTCTGATGATATTAAATGATATAGTTGAATATGAAAAATGTGTGATTGCTATGTGGTCATTGTAATTGAGAAATGATTATAGAAATATGAATAAGCAAAGAGACTATGCATGAGGGAAGAAATCCTTGAAATACATTAATTATTGAATTGATATTGAAAGATTATAATGATGTAAAAAAATGTTGATGAATGTGTTACTTCCATATGATCTTAAAAAGGGATATATGAATACTTATGTTGATAGACAAAGTGATTAAATGTGAAGTAAGGAATCCTTGAGTCATTGCCATGACTAAATTGATATGAGTCCTTAGGGATAAATTGTGTCCTATCTAAGATATTGAATAAGATAGACATGGCCTTAGAAGGAGTGATGGACTACGGTCATGCTCAAAGGGAAAGGTGATGTCTAGCTAGAACTATATGATGGCAGCCCGGGGAGTCTTGATGAAGACTAGCCCGAGGTTGATAGATTATGATTGTTCGAATACAACAAGTGTGTGTCAAGGTTGAAGCCATGGCTAAGCAAAGATATATAGGCTACACGAATAAGGATTACGCGGGGTGTGTAAGCCCTACATGAATAAAGATTATACGGGGTGTGTAAGCCCTAAACGAATAAGTATTACGAGGGATGTGTAAGCCCTAAATGATTGAGTATTATACGAGGTGTGTAAGCCCTAAACGATGAAGCATATACGGGGTGTGTAAGCCCTAAACGAATAAGTATTACGCGGGGTGTGTAAGCCCTAAATGAATAAGTATTATACGCGGTGTGTAAGCCCTAAATGAATGAAACGTATACGGGGTGTGTAAGCCCTAAATGAATCAAAGATATTATATTGGGTGTGTAATCCCATAAGGAAGGAATACAACTGTTGGGTGTGCAGGTCCAATATGGATGAGTCCAAAGAATAAAACGTGTAACCCTTTCGATGGAATTGGGTATAGACTAGGGGTAATGTAACCTCTCGAAGTTGCTATATGCAAGTGTAGGCCAAGGGCTATTCAAAGGGAATTGTTTTGAAATACAAATGGGCCTACGGGCCGACTATTTGAATTGTATATATATACTATACAAGTGATTTGAAATGGGGTAGCTATAGGTTATGCTCATGATATAGTATCACCCTATGTTGAGGGTCTTGTGTTTGAAACATGGATTATATGCCGTATAGTTGTCATTGTACTTTTCAAATGCTTCAAAGTACTGACCTCCCCTTCACGGGGGAGGCCACCTCACAGTTTTCAGGTAGAAGCTAGAGCTTGCTTCCTGTTCCCGTTGCTCGGGTGATCTATGGAGAGAAGACGTGGTTCGTGCTTCTTCCAATTCTATTTTGATATAAATAAAATGATGCTCATGGAAACTATTTAATTACTATAAATGATTTGGGAGCCTGCGTGCTCATGTTTGCCCTGTGTGGCCTTTGACTTTAAAATGTATTTGTTTTCCGCTGCGTATTTTGAAATGCTTTATTTATGATTGTTTATGGATGTACTTGTGTGAATGGTATTCATGTACGCCTTGCATGGTTCGAGAGAGGTAGACTGTGATTGCCTTAATCGGATTGTGCGGCGGTTGTTAGCGTGTCCGGCAGCTCGGGGCGTGACAATTTAATGGTATCAGAGCCTTAGTCTATAAACTTCATAATGAAGTTCCTCAAAAGTGTTTTCTTCAAAAATGATTTTGGAAACCATGAGCATAAAAAGTTTTGTACTAAAAGAGCCTTTGGTACTTGAGTTGCAATGTATCTGGTTGTTAAGACGGGCCCTTAACAATTGGTATGGCGGTGATTTGAGCCAAATGATGTCTTAGGTACTTGTCTGTCAGTTGACATTGAAACGAGTCTGATGACTCATTCTAAAAAACTTCTTTCAGAAACGAGAGGTGGAGGCATAATAGCTAGGAAGGACCGGATAGGGCGTGCACAGGGCGAAACTGGGCATGTCAATCGGAGGAACTCTAGAGCATCTAGAGGGAAAATGAGAGGCCGAGGAGGCCAACGGATCCAAATCATGGATAGAGTACCTTTGGAGACCGTGTGTAGGTCTTGGGAGTCCGAAGAAGACTCAACGTATAAACCTGAAACAGAATCTTTTGAAGCCTAGTATGATGAGAGTGATGATTATAACGAGGAGGACAATGATGTCTCCTTGGATGGAATTAGTCAAGTATTTGAAAAATACCAATGTGAACGGGAACTAAAACAGAAACGACGCCATGAGAGGCGAATTAAACAAGTGACTTCCAAGAGAGGAAGTTGTGATACGTGTGGGGCACGTAGGGATAGTACTGGAAATCGAAGTGATGAGAGTCCTATTATAAGGGTCTCTAAGTATCTTAAGGAGGCAAGGGCACTCGGATGTAAACCGTTTGATGGAACGGGGGATATATCTGAGGCCGCCGAATGGGTTAAGAGGCTTAATGAGGCAGCCGACGATATGCAATTGACACCTAATCTTAAGATGAGGGTTGCCATTAGAATTTTGGAGGGATTGGCCTCAACATGGTGGGATGGTGTCAAGGGTAAATTCAATGGAGTCGTCACGTGGGACAACATGCCTATTTTTGATAGATCTTTT